AAGAACTCACCTCATCTTTCTTCGAAACACTTTGCTGAGCATGCGTCGAACGAGTTTGAGGCTGTCTCTGCGAACTCAAAACCGATGAACTCAGCAAACGGAATTCCCAAAGCAGATTACAGTGACGAAGGATGCAAGCGGGATGCATATGTTCACTCACCGAAGCTTCGTCGGGGAGCCAGCGACGGCCGACGCTGAGGTCGAGAGCAAGAGATGATGTATTGATCCACGATGACTCCATCGCCTGTGACGAGGTAGCAAACTGGTGTGGCTCGCTGCATACGAAGGCAATACCAGCGTGAAGGAGGTTGGAAGACACAAAGCTGCTTCTCGTATATATAGAAGCAACTTTGGATTCTGCGACGAATTTATGGGAGAGAATTTGATGTGAAGATGAAACAGGTGGGGAGAAGAACCAGAAGACCCACAAGGACGTCAACATAGCATCACCTCCTCATTCAAGAACAACACTTCCAGGATCGAGCCAGAAATTTTCTGCTATATTCTTACCGGAAGGCTCATGCCAGTAAAAGGATTAGATTTATTGCACTCAGAAAGATGGCCCGACATTGATGGGAAGTGGAACGAAACTGGAGTGCCATCTCAACTAAACCACGAAGAGTCTAAAAATGTGGGCAACGAAGTCAAGGTTTCCAAGTTCAAAGCTCAGAAAAGAGTCTCACCTTCACTGGCCATTGGTTCCCTCAGTTCTGCCTTGCGACACACTACTCTCCACAGTGCAGAATAACGCTTCATGTCCCACTCGTTTGGCCCCAATGAATTCTCTTCTCCCACTTGGGCACAAGAAGAGAAGGTTTACTACGTCAGACCACGACAAATGTGGCTCACGCCCTCTTTGTTTGCAAGTGTCCCACCGGGAGAAGACTAATGGGCGCAAAGTTCTTCTGGTCTGCGGGTCCAAAAACCGAAAAGATTGACTGAGGAATCTATCAGTGCATGGACATGAACGTATTTTGTCAGATTAAAGATAGATTATGAAATGCTATTGCTCATCAACATCTTTTGTTTATAATTCCTTGCATAATATATACATGCATAAAACAGTAACAAGCATCTCTTGATCAATCTTTTTGCACTGTATTTGGGATATAAGAATCTGGTAGTATGCATGGAGATGAGGTGCTCTTGACCGAAGACTCAAAATGTCTCACCAACGTACACAAATTAAAGACGAGTAGAATATGTAACATCAAATGATGGGGACCAAATGACCATAGAATTCAACAAGTCAACAATTCCATACTGTTCTCCCAATGACTACTTTGTAGAAATTTTGATCATGATGAGTAGATTATTGATTCTTCGAGACGATCAACCGATTTCTTGTTCTCGAAGTATGCTTTGTAATCAAGCTTAGAAACAGGAAAATTCCATCGCTCTTGAGTAGCTATTCTATTTGATCTGTTCATATCAGAAGGAATAAGATGTGATTTGTATGTGATCGAGATGCATGGAATAAGGGAATTCATATTATTCGCATATATTCAATCTATTTAAATCCGATTTAAAATAGCTAAATAATTATATTTCAACTAAATACTAGTTCTTAATTGTTTTTGGTTGAGACTGTTGTACCATGAAAAGAACTGCTGCAAGTGCCTTGTCTAGAGGGTGAATTCCACCTACAGAAATGGGTCAATAGAAAGAACAACTCAGTCGAGATTTCCTCCTAGGTAGAAGGTTCTCTCACACGCTTCCGATTCATCAGTTGGGAGATTTGACGGTCAAGCCAAGACTTCCTGCCAACAAGCTGTGGCCCTCAAGCCGCAATGCGTAGCACCAGTTGGAAACTACTTGGATTTTGCTGGAATTGAAGGCTCAGGTCACATCACAGTGGTTCCCTCCACAGGTTTTGCATCCATACACGCCACTTGAGAGAGAGAGAGAGAGTGAGAGAGAGAGAAGGAATTCATGGTGGTAGCGTTTAAAACAATCAGAGAAACAAGTGCAGGTTGATGGATCAGCTGCTAACCGATGGATGTGATGAAAGTGGAAGGAAGGGAGGAGGAATTGAAGCGTGGTGGTTGGGCGAGGTGTACCAGCAAGACGACTTTGGAGGAGGACAAGACCGTCGAGTCAACGGGCGGGAGGAGGTAGCGTGCAGCTCCCGGCGCACGTCACAGTTGCGGGCGGAGCCGCGTGCGCCCACGATTATTCCAGCGGTCGCAGCACGCCCAAGTCGCCGGCGCACGTCAACACCCCAACCAATCCGGAGACTATGAAAGCGAGCAGACTTCGCTTCCAACGCTACTGACTGTGTGAGAGAGGAGAGAGGAGAGAGGAGAGGGAGAGAGATTGCACGTCAAGTTCATGGCATCTTACCACCACAAGTCCGTCAAGCACAATGCGGAATAAACATGGACATGGAACGGAGAGCATATGGAATTATTATACCAAATCGTGTGAAAGGAATCAGCCGCCTACGCATTTTTATATATGCGTTTGCTCTCGCATTCGAAATGTTCATTTTATTTTATTTTAATTATAAAAATATATTATGACTTTATCTAAAATTATAAAATTATCAAAATAATTTTTAAATTTTATTTTATATTTATATTTATTATATATTTTAACCATACAAAATTTCTTATAAGATTTACACACAATTATTTTTTTTTTATGTATTTGCTTATTTAATTTAAATAAAAAAATATATTTACTATATATATATATTTAAATTATAGTTCTTGTCGATTGCTTATATTAAAATATAAATATGTTCTTTTTTGCTTGACTTGGCATTTCTTGAAAGTCAAGGATTCTCTCTAATTTCCTACATATATTAGAGTTTATTTATCGGCAGGCATTTATGACATGATAAAGATGTGTACAAAAAGCCAACAGCCGCTGCCCATTGATGACTCGATTGTCGCATGATAGACAATATCTCATGTAAAATAATTAGTACATTACATACTAGTCTTTATTAATCCATTTCATTAAAAAAAAGGATGAAAATATTAAATTTTAATTACTCTAATCCCGATAAAATGAAATATTTATTTTTTTTGAAGCCAATCGGAAGGGTTGACATCTCACCACATTTGATGAAATGAATCAAACTGAACGTCGCCATATTTATTTATACAATCAAAAGAAATCGAATACGGTGTGATCGCCATTGATTCGATGACCAGACAGACCATTTCTTATGGCTAAAGAAAAGAATAAAAAGGAAATAAAGCTAAAGGAACGATAGTCAGCATCACGTCCGGGGGATGACGCGATGAAGTCTTTCGTCATCGCCGACGTCGGCTGCTGCGTTCGAAAACCTCGCCGTGCTTTGTGTAACGTTGTAGAATCGGCGGCGACTCGGTTGGGCTTTTGACTTGATTTAAAGATCACGTCATGGTTGCCGTCTTCGTGCACGACCCGATCAACGCCATCGGGTGACCGCGGTTTCAGAATCGCTCGAATCGAAATCGAATATATATAGTCGAATGATTTTGATCTTAAAATTTGGACTGATCGATCATTGGACTTTAAAATCTCTATTTATATTTTATATTTTTTTATTTTAAATTAGAACAATCAATTTTGATTCTCATATCAAATTTTAGGAATTCGAATCATCACTCTTAATGATCATATATAATTCACATAATTATTATACAGATATTTTATTTTAGCTCGACGCTAGTAAATGTCACGTATCGGGCGCGAATCTTGAACCCGTTTATCGGGATTCTGCACGAATCTCAAAGCACAAGCGGGTCCGGTGGAAAATTAGCTCGGCAGAGCCCAATGGGCTGCTTCGAGCTGCCTCATGTGGAACAGTCAACAGGTGGGCCAGAGGTCATGTGGAACAGTCAACAGGTGGGCCAGAGGACATGAGGCTACCCTAAATCCTCTAACGAAGAAGCCCAAATTGTCTTTTAGGCAGAATCGAGGTCAAAACTGGCCCTGCCTATAATATATTATTGTCCTTTTTATATTGTTTTAGAATGCCATAGATTTATTATCATATTCTGATAACTTTTTATTTGTTGAAGAAAGTAGCAGTCAGAGAGAGAGAGAGAGAGAGAGAGGTAGGTGGTAGTAAGTTGTTGT